TTCTGCTACTCCATTTTTCTGCTATTATTTGTCCACTTTTCTGCTTCATCTCACTGTCTGCTCCATTCATTAAGGCTTCTCTGCCACTGCTGCTGGAATCCTGGTTTTTTTTTTCTCTCACTCTGGAATGTCCTTCAATATTTTTTGTAGGGTTGGGTTGGTGGCCATGAACTCCCACAGTTCCTCCTTGTCTTGGAAATATCTTGTTTCTCCATTAACTTTGAGAGAGACTTTTTCTGGGTACATCAGTCTTGGTTGGAGGTTATTTTCTTTCAGAGCTTGGACCATTCCCCCCCAGGCTCTTCTCGGTTTGAGAGTTTGTGTTGATAAGTCTGTCATTATTTTGATGATATGACCTTTGTAAGTGATCTGTTTCTTTTCTCTGGCCACTTTTAATATTCTGTTCTTGTGATGAATTTCTGGAATATTGATTATTATATGTCTGGATGTAGCTCTATTTTGGTTGTAGGTGGCTGGAGTTCTGTATGCCTCTTTTATCTGGATATCCTTTCTTTTTCCTATGCTTAGGAAGTTTTCCTTAACTATATCTGTGAATAGTCTTTGTAGTTGATTAGTGGTTACTCCTGCTTCTTCACTCTCATTTTTTATTCTTAAGTTATAAATCCTCTTGTCATCTTCTAGCCTTTGAATTGTTTCTTCCTGGTTCCTTGTTATTTTTAATAAATCTTTTCTTTCACGATAACATCTCATAAATCTCTCTTCAGGTTTCAGAAGGCTAACTTTAGTTTCTGTCAAGGCATTTTGCCAGCTTTCAGTGGAGTTTTTAGTTTCCTGGTAATCTCTTTGGCTCTGTTTCATGTATTCTATAAACAAAATTCTAGAATTTTGTTTATATTCTTCATCAAAGGTTTGTCTTCCTTTTCTGAGTTCCTCTGTTCTTCTCTCTGTGTTCTCTTGGGAGGGGCTATCATTTCTTTAGTTAATCTTTTTATATCTTGCCTCACTTGGATCAGAATTACAGTTCTAAATTCATCTTTGAGGTCATAAAGGTATTTATTTATGTCCACTGATGCTGTGTCTAGTATTGCATGATTACTGCACTGGTTCTCTTCTGTATTTACCTCTCCTGGGCTTATTTTCCCAGGGTCAGTGGCTGGAGGTTTTTTTTAATTTCTATCTCTTATCATGTTTCTGGTTTCTTTCAAACAAGTGTGTCCTGGGGGGTCTCTGGCCCTCTCTGTATTGTTTAGGATCTTTCCAAAGTGTGCTGACTGGGGTTTTGTTGCCCTCCCAATTTGCTGTTATCTGAGGTGCAGGCAAGGACACAGGGACCGTGCAGGCTAGCCTCGAGCCTCTGAATCAGTCAACCTGCAATTTCCTTCAGTGACTTAGGCTGTACCTTGTGGACATCACAGAGTCTTGACCTTTTTGTCCCTGGCTATCAGGTCCCAACCAGAGGTGTAGCTCTGCCCCAGGAGAGCCCACTAGTCTTCTCTGTGCCAGGGGCGGCCGACTGATGCTGGTGCGGTGTTGGGATCTACCCAACTCCAAGATGTCCTCCTGCCAGCAACAGCAGCCACAGGACCCAATCCCTAGCACTCACCAGGAATCAATGCAGTTTTTCCTCGCTGTGCCATGTCCTCCCACCAAGGGCTCAGGACTCAACAATTCCCGTTTTCTGCAGCTGTGGCTTCAGCTCGACCTTGAATCTCCTAACTCCATGGTGCTCCCAGCAGAGTGTGGATCAGCGTCAGTGAGCACGCAGGGCTCCAGCCCCCCACTCACATTTTTCCCTTCTCCACAGAGGTAGATTCTAGCTTGATGTGGTTTTTCCACATATAGATCAGTATCCTGCCTCTTCAGAAAACTGTGCAGCACCTGGCTTTGGTGCCCAGGTGCATGGTTCTCTCCCTGGCCTCCTCCAGAACAGGGCCTCCAGGAACTGCTCTTTTTAAATGGCCTTAAAATTTTTAGAAAATCCTGATACATACATAGTGTTTGGAATAGAAACAATGGCCAGGATGCAGGGAAGTTAGAAAGATCACAGCAGAATGGCAAGAAGAAAGGTTATATATGTATCAGATCTTTAAATAATATAAAAGTAGGGAGAGTTAATAACAGCATTTCTTGCTGAGATGGTGAGCATAGGTTGACCACTGTATAGGAAAGAAACTGAATCCCAAATGAGCAAACCTGTGAGAGGAACAGATGTGGTAAAACTAAAAGAAGAATCATAAACTTGACCTTGATGGGAAGATGGAATTTCCCCAAGGGATCTTTACACTGAATTTCCCCCAGCGGATCTTTACACTAATGCCTTTGTGTCTAGTCAACATATTCTTTTTTATAATTTAAAGAAAGACTAAACAAAACAGAAAATGGGTAACAATACTTTCAAAGAAAAAATAAACAATAATAAAATACTTGTTGATGATTACAGATTGTCTTCTTACAAATAGTTATTCAAGACATGAAAGTGGAGATATAAAGTGGGGATTCAGTGAGACTGCAACCAGTTTTGTTCAATTACTTAGAAAACTTGTTCAAAAACTTAGAAATATGGTTATCAATTCTATACACTTAAACATATATGCAGTTATCCATGTAAAGTTATCATCTTTACAGAATGAAGAAGATAAGCAGACAACTGATGGCAAGAAACAGAAGAGACCATCTCTGATTTTATTCAAAACTAATATGATTGATAGTATCAAGTCTGAGAGTATAGGCAACTACACTGAAGATGACAAGACTCTACGATACACATTCTTGTTTGGTAACTGCCTGCTTTTAAAGTTACATGCTATACACAAAGTTGTGTTTTTATTAATACTGTTATGTACTGATATATTGAATTATACTATGTCTGATGATATAGCCAATTCTGTTAAAGATAACAAGAGACAACACAGGAACCATGGTAGAACTCCTTGTACAATGGTCTTATATGTCTTTTTTGTTTCATCTGTTTATAGGAATATGTTTTGTTTTGTCTTACTTTGTTTTGTTTCTCCCTCTAATATAGAAAGCATAGAAATATATGTTAAGACCCATACATGTGTAGAATCCATAAACAGTTTATGAGAACTGATCTTATGACACATGATGAAATGGACAGATACTTTGAACAAAAAGAGACACTGAAGTACCCAGTGCTGATCATGGAGTGTCATAATGTGAAACCCAGCAACAGTATTATTCTTTGTTCAGAGTGATATTAGCCTGCTTGGATTTGTTCAGTCTCAACATAATTGAAGATATGGGTAACTTCATGTATGTTTAAGTGTATAAGATTGATAATCATATTTTCTAAGATTTTTGTTGGATAATTGAACAAAACTGGTTGCAGTCTCACTGTTTGAATCCCCACTTTATATGCTCCACTTTAGTATCTTGAATAACTATTTGTAAGAAGACAATCTGTAATCATCAACTAGTGATTTCTTACTGTCTATTTTTTCTTTGAAAGGAAGTATTATTTCTACCTATGTTTTGTTTTGTTTAGTCTTTCTTTAAATAAAATTTTTTAAAAAGACACCACAGTACCCAGTGCTGATCCTGGAGTGTCATGATGTGAAATCCAGCAATACTATTATTCTTTGTTCAGAATGACTTTAGCCTGCTTTAGTTTGTTTAATCCCAACATAAATGAAGGTATGGAAAACTGCATGTATGTTTAAGTGTATAGGATTGACAACCATATTACTAAGTTTTCGTTGGCTATTTGAACAGAACTGTTTGCAGTCTTGCTGTTTGAATTCCCGCTTTCTACATTCCACTTTTGTATCTTGAACAACTATTTGTAAAAGGACAATATGTAAACATTAACTAGTGATTTCTTACTGTTTATTTTTTTCTCTGAACACACGTATTATTTCTACCCATTTTCTGTTTTGTTTAGTCTTTCTTTAAATAAAATTTAAAAATAAATTAGAAAGAAAGAAGCTGCTTCAGCCCAGAAAACTCCTGCCCCCTAGACAATCTGAACAGTCAACTGCTAGGGCAATGGGGTGTCGTGTGACATTAAGTTGCTAAGAGGTATGAATGCCCCTATAGTGAGGGAGTGGTTCTTTTCCTCCCATCAGGAGCATAAGTGTTCCACAGTGTTCCCAGTTTTGTCTCTTCTTTGTTTTCTCATCCTCTGGCAGTCCTTCACCCAAGAACCTCAAGAACGGCATGGCAATATGTATGTATATGTATATATGTAGGTACATATACATATATGTATTACATATGCTTATTATATATCCATTATATATGCATATTATTATATATACATGATATGTATATACATATGCATGATTGAATAAAAGAGTTCAGCAGTAAAATGGCCTAAAACTACAAGGAAAATGAAGAAACCCTCATTTCATGCTTTACCAAAAGAAATCAATGTCAGATATTATTAGGTTTTAACTGGGAGATAAAATTTCAAAACTTAGGGAACAGGACAGATCCAAGATGTTCACAGGTTCACACTATAGTGCTTAAAAATTAATTCAAAACGATGTGATCTTGGAACTCTTTCTCAATTTCCCCAGTTTGTCAAGATGATAAATCCACTTAACTCATGAGTTCTCTGTGATGAATAAATGATTTAGCCTATATCAATTACTTAAAATAGAGTGTGGCAGGAGGTACTTTAATGATTATAACTAGCCCTCTTACTGTTACTGTTTTCTTATTACATTCTAATACACCAAGCTCATTTTTCACTGCTGTAGGCCAGATAATGGAAAGAAAGCAAATCTTTCTCAATTCCTTGCTCTGATAGTTCAACTTCTATGGTTAAACATACGCAGAAGCTCTGATCCTTAAATTTCTATGGTTTTTAGATGAGCATGGGACTCACTATCAGGGGTCTCATCAGTTTGAGACCTTCACTTTCACGGCTGGGTACGCAAGCACTCAGTGTTCAACTCAACAGCTAGTAATATTTAATCCTGGCCCTTGGAATAGGTGAGCTCAGCCCATTCAGGTATTAAGACCAAAATATAACACTGGTTGATACTAATACTCTCCTATCTGCTATTTGCTGCACCATGAAGCCTGCTAAGCTGGGATTTCTTCTATGGCTCTTCATCTTCTGCTTACAAACTTCCCCATTATTGGGTGGTACTGTTAAAATTGCTGAACGTATCTGTGGACACCTATCAGGTATGAAGTCAAGGGAAAAAATAACCTCAAGACCAATTATGAATGAGTTAAAAACTAATGGAAAGAGTCTGACATCTAAATGACCCGGGAATATCCTCTTCTATAGCAATTCCCATAGGTCCTTAATCATTTGACTCAAGGTATTACCACAGTACTGTGGATGTTTGAAGAAAAGGGAAAAAGCAGACATGATGCAAATCATATTTTTAGAGAGTTCTTTTCAAAGGAGATCTGAAAAGCTGGAAACATTTTAAATTTGAGTTTTTGTGATTAAAACTTGGAAAAGAGGCTGGACTACTTTTTTTAGTACTAGAGATTAAACCAAAGCCTTTGTATGACTACAGCACCTAGCCACTTTTATTTTAAAACAGGTCCTTGACAACTTTTACAAGCTGTCCTCCAAAATGTGGTTTTCCTGTCTCAGCCTCCCAGAGTGCTGGGCTTATAGGCATGTACCACCTTGGCCCATTGAGGTCAGACCTTTAAAGAGTATGTATTGGAATGAGAGAAGGAGAGTTGGAGACTTCAAACATTGAGACATTTTTAACATGTGAACTCTGAGCATATAGAGAACATTTCAAAACATGCCATCTATTTGGAAGAGCTTCCAATAGAGATATCAAGGGAAAGTATTCGTTCCATAGATTTTGTGTATTGGCTGAGAGCATGAAAAAGTAGCAAGGTCACAGTCAGACTTCACCTTTGGCCTTGCCTTTTAGCAGATGTGTGCCAATCGACCAGCCACTGAAATTCTTATCATCTATTAGCATCATTTTTCCATGTGTAAAATAAAGATCAGAAAAGCATCTACTTCAGAAAATGTTTGTAAGTATGGGATAAGATCGTGCATCTAATTATACCTAAATAGATAGTTTTACCAGAGAATGATTTCAAGCCTAGTTAGGGGTAGAGTACGAACATCACTGGCTTGCCAATGAATCATGTAGCTATTTGAAACATGTAGCTCAATGCTTAATAAAAATCAGAGGGTTGCCTCTGGAAAGGGAAAAGAAGACAATATGAGGGAGAAAGAGCTTCATTCTCATGACTATGCATTTTGGTATACATCCTGCCTTAAGAACAGCAGCAGCAGGCACAGTTTACTGGATTTTGAGGTATAGATAGTATAGCAGGTTATGAAAACTGGGAGGCAAATATTCTGTGGTGTATGTGCCAAGTGAGCAGTTAGAATATCAGGGTGTGGAAATGCAGGATGATCACACACTGTAATCCTCAGTGCGAAATCTGGGAAGCTTCATTTTTTGCACAAGCTATAGGTGAAAAAAGGTTCTTTTTTTCACAGTTCAGTATTTCAACAGTCACTCCCTAACCTGGAGCTCTAAGCAATTTACATCACACATGGGAATCTTGCCAATTGACTAATTCCAAGAGAAAATTAGACATCTTTTAGTGACCTTGAATATGAGAATTTTTCCAAGATATAATGAGGAATTTTTAGGAGCACATAAGAATAAGCCTTCACTGAGAAGCCATGCTGGGTCTGGTAGGAGCATTTCAAGAAGCCAGTTTGCCCTTCTGGTAAGTACACAAACCATGCAGGGCCCAGGAAGAGAGAAATCAGATTGCCCTCCCGTGAGCATAGACTGAGAATCAAGAACTCCCCTTCTTCCCTCCCCCACCATAAGCAACGGGCTGGTTGGAGGACAGGCTGAATTGATAGCAACTGGGGTGCAAAAACAACTAAATGCTTATATTGTTTGATTGATTTTGAAGGCCTAAGACTGAGAAGTCTGAACATCCACCTGAAGGATGGCAGTATGCACGATAGCAAATATGGGGGGTTTCCTTCTGTCTTGTTTTTGAAATCCAATATTGTCCTCACTGTTTTGTTCCAATGTATTGTTTTGCTTTATTCAATGTGCTGTTTAGACTGGTTTTATTCTGTTTTGTCTTATTGGATTTTACTATGTCTGATGGAATGGACAACTATTATGAAGATAACAAGACATAGTATGGTAACCATTGTTGATTTCCTATTATCCTCCTTCAAAGTTCTGTACTACTTTCACTGCTTCATATTTTGATTGGCTTTACTCTGTTTTGTTTGGTTTGGTTTTATTCTTTTTAAAACAAAAAAATGAAAAATAAAAATAAGCCTTCCCTTCATCCTAACCATCTCCTCCTAACTCAATGGAAACCTCTCCTGCAGATCGCTGTTCTTGGGATATGGATAGAGGAAGCTGCTTTGAAGTGCACTTTAGATATTTCTACAACAAAACCTCCAAACACTGTGAATCTTTTCTCTACACCGGCTGTGCAGGCAACCTTAACAACTTCAAGCTTAAAATAGAATGTCAAGTAACCTGCGATTCAAAGTACCAAATAAAGTAAGAAAGTCAGTCCTATCCTTATTCTTTCCAGGGATGAAAGGAAAATTTCTGAGAGCCTAGGATAGAGAGAATTGGTCAGGGATCAACCCTGATCTGGAATGAGAAGAGGAAGTTTATTCTAATTAAAAAGTTTAACAGGTGGGTTGGAACTCAGAATCATTTGCTCATTTTGCAGTTAAGAAATCGAACATTCAGAGAGAAAATGGTAACCATCATCTCTTGAGCTATTACCATGTGCCAGGAATTGCACTAATAATTAACATACCGTGTATTGATACAATTTTAAATAACTCAAAAGTAAGTCTTTATTGTTTGTTCATGTGACAGCCAAGAAAAATAATCCCAGTAAGAAGAACCAATCAGCTCTAGTTCATATTAAAGGAGCAAGGTTTTTAACCAGACCTGACAGCCACTCCGGTCTTCACCATATCACATGTACTAAGATCACACATAATTACACTCCCAGACCTTCAAAATCTCCACAATAACACAGTGATTTATACCACTACATCTCCACCCTACACTTGACCATTTCCAAGTCATTAGAAGCTAAAGTCAAGGGAGCCTACAGGGCTGAAGTATGGCTGCTTTCTAGAAGAGGAAGATTGTGTGGTCTTGAGAGTAACTCAACATGAATTTTGATTTGCTCACTTTATATTTCCAGCAAATCTTTTCAGTGCCTGGCACAATATAGGCAATAACTAAGTTTCACATGAATAAAAGTGAGCAATAAAGCAAAGGAACAGAAGGGACATTAAAATAAAAGTCATCCTCTAGGCTTACTGCAAGGAAAAAGTGACCTCTATTAATCTAGGGGGACTTTTCAAAACCTGTGGCATAATTTTTTTTCTTTTGCTTCTACAGGGAAAGATAATGGTGAAAAGATATGAATTCATGGAATTTCTTTACTATACCATCTGAAAAATGATGTAAGAAAACTTGGACCAATTTCAGATCATTTCAAAATCACTATAGTCCTTGAAACTTGTATATGTTTATGATTTTCCAGATCCTAGTTTTGTCTTTCCTGAAAAAAAAAATGATCATTAAAATAAACAGCCTTTGTGTCAGCCTCTTCCTTCTCTGAATTTCTCTCCCCCTGTCTTATCCAGAGGTCAGTTTCCTCCATCCAGGAGGTCCCCCCTCAATCCTGTCATTCTGCATACATGCACGGAATACTGAAGTATTCCAAGTTAGCTGGCCAAATCTGCTTATGTTTGTATCACCTACACTTGAGTTGATTAAGGGCACTAAAGTACAAAACCTCTGCTCCCTTAACCTTAAAATCAAATCTAGCTGAGAACTTCACATTTACAGGGGCCATCACTTCACTCATAAACTTTTCATCATCAGGTTTTCTAATTCACTTCCCTTAAGCCAATACTCCCAATTTAACTGACCTTCTGGTCCATGTTTACAGTAATTACTTAGACATTTTTAAGTCATTAAAAGTTGACTTGGTTATTGTCAGTCCTTCTGGAAAAAGAACTCTGAATTTCAGTGCAATAATTACATATTAGCTACCAAAAGAATCAACGTCCAAACCTGAATTTGAAATCTTCTAAATATAATGCTTTCAGGTTCAGTGGGGTCATGGTCTGTCCAGCTATAGGATTCTCAGTTTGACCATTTCAGCTCTGAACTTTCTCAGGCATTCAACCGAAGCTGAACTGATGTAGGAATGTCTGTCTTGTCTGTAATTGCGCTTTGCATACCTACCCTGCCCATCTTCCAGGCAATGTCCAATCCCTCACTTGTAAATCACAACATAGACTGACTCGGCCAACATCAGAGGCACTGTAAAGCATTCAAACCCTGCAACTAGACATGCTGCCTGGGGAATCTCAACAATGAGGTTTTTTAAAAGAAAACTAAACAGAGCAGATAGACAAAACTAAAAACTGATCTTGGAGAAGATTAACAGACGACATAAAGCACTGGCAAACCAATCAAGACACAAAAAGAAATATCCATCAATAGGAGGATTAATGAAAATATTTTGGCATATTCACCCAAAAAAATGACAAAATAGCAATGAAAATAAATGAATCATAACTACACACAGTGTGATGGATAACACGTTGCCGAGTGCAAATCCCAAAAAGGTCAGCAAACCTCCATAAAATGCAATATAGTAAAAATTATAGGTATGTCAGTCAACAGGCAAAATTAAAGGTATTAAACCAATATGAACAAATAAAACTGGCAGCAGTTGAGTCCTGTAGTTTGAAATATGAGGTCACACAGCCATGTAAACCTCGGTCAAATGGAACCTAGACTCGTCCACAGATTATGAGATCCCGGCCAAGATGACCTTGAATTCTGCAGCCACTTGCAGCCTGAACTTCCTGTGCGACAGGCTCGACCGCTGCCAGGAAGTCAGTGCAGGGGCCAGCCAGCAGGTCATCTTCCTGCCACCGCAGACCACTCAACACCCAGTGCTCTTCAGAATAAATGACTGGGGTCCGGAAAAACATGGCGGATAGATAGCAGCAGCTTCGAAGGCTCTCTGAGAAACCGCACTTGAAATCCATGGTGGTGGGCAGGAAGTCCTAGGCAAGTGGGGATATTCTTTGCCGACCCAGGAACAAACTAGGCAAACCAACTGGAAACACAATCCCGGTGATACAGCAGGAACAGATAAGGTCTCAGCCCAGAAGTTGGACCTCGCACCACTGGAAACTGCGATTTGAATTTCCTGCAGCCGCTGCTGCTTCCCAGTCAGCACGGCGGGGAGAGAGGCGTGAAGGCTCTGAGAGTGGGAAGCATTGAAAGGAATTGGGAGCAGGACAGGCCGGGTGCCCTGCATCAACCTACAGTGACTGAACAGATCGGGGACACTTCCATAGAGAAGGAAGCTTCAGCAGAGGACATACTGGGACCAGGCAGACTAGCCAGAACAAGTTGTTGCAGTGACTTCAGTCATATCCCCCTCTCAAGCAGGATCGGTGGGGAGTGTCTGGCCTGCATGACGCCACTGGCTGAGACCCAGTAGGCTAGCCCAACCCAGGTCCCAGTGTCTGGAGGTGCACCCTAGTGGTGAAGCCTTCGGTAGGTTGACTTGGAAGGGCGGCCCGGCATAGACTGCCAGGTCTGTATCTCCCTGGTGTGCTGTGGTGCGCGGGAACACCTAGCTGGCACAATTAAAACAGACTGTGGCTGACAGGGAAGGAAGCTGGGCCTCCCATATATGCTTATATATAAGGAACAAAGAATATGGGAAGAGGGAACAATAAGAAAGGGTCCTCGGCCCCCAATCCTGAGAAACATGCAATAGCAGACACAGCACCAATAGACATAAAGCGCTATCTCCAGAGCCTCATAGATGAGTTCAGGAATGAAGTTATTAATGACCTGAAGCAAGACATAAGCAGAATAGTTAGAGAAATGCTAAGCACCGTCCAAGAAAAAACAGATGGTGGAATGGAAGAACAGAAAAAAAAAGGAGAATTGTTTGATGGAGAAAATAGAGAAAACATAGAACACATGAAGCAGGTTCAAAGACATTACCAAGAAACTAAAAACTCTATCGAAAACTGGCATAACAGCTTGAAAGAAACTAAGGATAGATTATCTGAACTGGAGGGCAGATTTGTAATATGGGAGCATGAAATGAAAAACTTCTTTAAAATAACAAAAAAAAAGCAACAATACAAAAGCTAGAAGATGATAGGATCTATAATTTAAGAATTAAGCACCTAAGAGAAGAAGTGGGGACACAAACAAATGGACTACAAAAGCTATTCACAGAAATAATCCAGGAGAATTTCCCTAATTTAGCAAATGGTAAAGATACTCAAATATATGAGGCATACAGGACTCCAACCACCTACAACCCAAACAGAGCTACACCCAGGCATATAATAAGCAAAATTCCAGAAATCCAATATAAGAACAGAATATTAAAAGCTGTCAGAGACAAGAAACGGATCACTTACAAGGGAACACCCATCAGAATTACAGCAGACTTCTCAGCACAAACCATCAAATCATGAAGAGCGTAGGGGGAAATAATTCAAGCTTTGAAAGATATAACCTCCAGCCAAGATTGATATATCCTGCACAGCTGTCCCTAGAAATTGATGGAAAAACAAGGTGCTTCCAGGATAAAGAGGAACTAGGGGAATTTGCAACCACCAATTCAACTCTACAGAGAATACTGCAGGATAGTCTAAAAAAGGAAAGTATCAAGATTCCAGAAATAGTGTCAGAGAGATCACAATGAATGGAGCAGAAAACGAAATGAAGAAGACAAACTGACAACAAACGACAGAAAAAGAGCTCAACAGAAATGAGGCAGAGACGATCGGAAGGTAGGAACAGCTATTTTGGAGAAAACAAGACATCATAATAGCTAGTGCTGATTTAGTATCATCTTGGTTTGAAGTCCCATCAAACTTGTATTCTTCTGTCTCCATTGGTCTTAAAAGGTTGTATCTTATTGGATTTTATTAGATATGATAATATAAGCAAAAACTTTTATAGACAAGGAGTTTATACAGAAACCATTGTTCATTTTCTGTTAATTGGTTCTAAATACCCTGTAATAATGTCATTCTCTTGAATGGTTTTATAGTGTCTTGATATGTTTGGTGCTACAGTATATGAAGTTATACTCAAAGATTTCAAGGAAAGAGACACTATGGTAACTATTTTTATGTCAAGATATCTTGTGGTGAAACACTATTTTGCTTAAATGGTTATGTTTTGACCTGCGCTGTTCTGTTGTTATGCCCTCTTTTATCTCAATCCCCTTTTTTTTAATTATTTACTTTTGTCTTTTTATTTTTTTAATTAAAGGAAAAATAAATAAAAATAGCAGGATACATTATAATAACCTACTTTGATTTCCTATTAATTTGATTTGAAGTCCTGTATTTACCTCACCATCTTGTTTTGACTGATTTTCCTCTATTCTGCTTTGTTTGATAGTACCAAGTTCAAAAGTATAGGCATAACCGTGAGGACAATAAGAATCATTATGACACCCATTCCGGTTGACTATTATTTTCTTTTAAAACCCTGTAATGTCTCCAATGCTTTGGTTTTATTCTTTACTGTTTAGTTCAATTTTTTTTATAACTGCCAATTCTTCTTAAAATAGCAAGAGGCAGTATGGTAACCATTGTTGATCACCTTATATTTTGTTTTTACATTATCTATTATGTCCATCCTTTTGATTTGACTGACTCTGTTCTGATAGGTCACATTTGGTTTTACTCTCTTCAAAAAAAGTAATAAGAACTGTGGGAGTAATAAAACCCAAAATGTGTAATTGTCATTGTACAAAAGAAAAGAAAAGAAAGTGCTCTAAAGGTTATAACTGCATATATGTTTAAGTGTATAAGATAGATAACCATATTACTGAGTGTTTTTTGGATCACTGAACAAAACTGTTTGCACTCTCACTGTTTGAAGTCCACTTTATATGCTTCAATTTTGTAACTTGAACAACTAATTCTAAGATGAGAATATGTAATCTATTAACTAGTGATTTCTTACTGTTTATTTTTTAAATTTTGTATTACTTGTACCCTTTTCTGTTTTTCTCTTTTTCTCCTTAAATAAAAAAAACTGGCTGCAGTGCTGCACCCCAATAGTCATACTACTCATGAGGTTGAGACAGGATGGTTGCTTAAGTTCAGGAGTTTGAGACCAACATGGGCAACATAATGAGACCTCATCTCAAAAAAAAAAAATAGAGAGAGAGACAAAGACAAATATAGAAAAAGAAATGAAGGCTGGGGATTTAGCTCAGTGGCAAAGCGCCTGCCTGGCAAGCACAAGGTCATGAGTTTGATCCCCAGTATCAAAAAAAAAAAAAAAGAAAGAAAGAAAGAAAAGGAAGATAGAAAGAAACAAAAATGAAAGAGGGCTGGGGGTGTAACTCAGCTGGTAGACAAGGTATAGGGTCCTACCATTGCTGTCTATAACAGAATTTAGGGAATACTATTGAATATCAAGTGTAAGAGTGCCTGAGGTCCAGTTTTTTTTTTTTGAGGCACAATGGTGTGATGGGAGCCAGCTGATCCTCCTTATTTAGTGAGATAGAAACTATAAACTGGAGGTGGAATAGCTGTGATAGTGTTATTGCAAATGGAGCAAGGTCCAGATTATAAAGAACCTCGTGTTTGGCTTAGCAAGGATGATTAGCAAAACAGGAGCAAAGTTAGGGATTTTTAGTGAGATGGAGATGAGTGGGTGACAGGAGATGTGATAATCACTCTAGGGTTGAGCATTTGGCATCAGAGGTGCTAGATTATCGGAATACTGTCTAGCCTGAATGGTGCGGAACCAGAAAGAAAGGCCAGAGAACTTGATTGCTATTGGTGCCATGAGGAGGACCAAGTGAGGTCCCATTCACTTGGGTTGTAGTCCTGTGGGCTTCAAAGATTTGAGATATATTAGATCTCTGGAAGTTATAGGGGATTCCTGTTTTGGGTTATCTATCAGCTGTAGGAGATAAAGGTCATCATGTTGTCATAGTAAGTGTCCGAGAAATGAAAGAATTGGGACATAATTGGATATAGGAGGAAGGTCTTGTGGGGTAGGAAGATTATGGTGTAAAAAAGCCTATCGTACATGAGCTCAAAGGAACTTAGGAAACTAAGTGTCAGAGGAAGTGCCCTAAGCTGGGTCAGGGCTAAGTTAAAAGGAGTTGGGGCCATGGTAGGTGAGCTCAAAAATGAGTTTTGTGGGAGCTGGGGATTTAGCTCAGCAGCATAAGCACCTGCCTTGCAAGCAGGTGGTCGTGAGTTCAATCCCCAGTACCAATAAAAAGAAAAAAATGAGTTTTGTGGGGTGTGCTTTTAGTATATCACTTCTCTCCTTTGCTTTCCCTGAGGACTGTGGGTGGTATGGTATATGTAAGTGCCAAGTAATGTTTGGATGCAAGGATACTTGGTAAGTGATTTGGAAATGAAAGCTGGGACATTGTCTGATTGTATAGTTTGAGCTAAGCCACATCTGGGGATGATCTCTTGTATAAGACTCTTGGAAGCTACATCTGCAGTCTGTCAGATTGTGGGAAAGGCCTCTAGCCATCCTAAAAAGATGCAGAAGAAGGTAATGAGATATCTGAAGGTTTTGTGACTTGAGTGTCTGTGTTAGTCGAGCTGCCATCTATGAACCATGTATCAAAGGCCGTAGAAAAAAGAGTGCTATTAACCTGGGGGAAGGGCATGGGGTCATCTGTGAGTCCTCAGTGTAACTGTGGTGAAAGGTCTCATCAGAATGCTATTGATATTTGAATATTGATTTTGCCTGATTTTAAAGATATGTACGCATTTATCCATATCTTCATTTATGTTGAGACCTACCACAGCTTATTAGATTAAAATCCTTCTGACTAAAGATTAATAATATTTCTGGATTTCACATAATAATACTCCAGAATCAGGACTTTACTTTAAAATCAGGCACAAGACAAGTATGTCCCTTATCGCTGCTCCTACTTAATATACTACTGGATATACTAGCCAGAACA